ACGACCTCGGTCTCATCGTTCGGCTTGGCGCCCGCCTCACTAGGAAGATCTCCTGCACCTCGTTGTAGCACTTCTTGTCCTCGCCGTAGTTCATGCCACTTCACCTCGTACTCGTCCGGGGGTTGTCCGGATATTTCCTTCGTCCATGGCGTCTGCAACCAAGAAGGGCATTCTGAGCTTGCTCGTCGTGGCACTCCAGGTACGACCGGAAGGGAGTGGTGAACCATCCAACACTCTTGATCTCCTCCACAGGCCAACATCTTGGCTTGCCATCCTTCTTGTAGTTGCGTCCATGAGACAAGGGTGGAACTCAGCGAGATAGCCGGCACCGTCATCCATCTAGGCCAGCATCTTATGGAAGGTCGGTAGTGTTGGGATTGCTCATGCGCTCCCAGCTCGACGGTGTCTCGTCGTCCGCAAGCTCCATCGCGATGTCCGCGTTCTTTTCGGCCAGCTCCGAGACCTGCTCCAGGGACATGTTGTCGAGGTTCGGGGGGGCCTCGTACCGCTGCATCATCGTCAGCATCTGTCCTTGTCCCCGAGCTAACTCCCTTAGGGATTGTCCCACCTCGCGGAAGCTCACTGCCATGGCCTGGAGCGTCGCTCCCAGCTCTGCTGATATGGTCTCCTCGGGTGGTCCTGGAGTGGCCCGGCGGGTGGATGTCGTGGTAGTAGCTGCCGGATACGCCGAGCTTGCTGCCATGGCTCCTTGCGAACTCACTGCTCGGCCTCTTGCTTTGGCTTTCCCCTTTGGCTGGACTCGGTGGGGATGGTACGACAATCTCGCCGAACACTTCGGACACACCGTCCAGGAAGCGTACTGATTTGCTCTCCGTATGGGAGAGCCCGAGTGCAGGCATTTCATCGGCTCTTGGGCGTCCGCCGTGAGGAACTTCTTGCGCTCGGACAGGATGCTCTTCTGGTGTGTCTCCGCCGCCGCCAGCCTGGAGTACCCCGCTCGGATCGACTCCAGAGTGTAAAACATCCTCACCACGATGGCACGCCACATTCGCGCCACCCGGTCGTACATCTCTCCCGCAGCTGGCTCCATCGCTCGAGATGGGTGGTCCATTTTCGCCAGCGGCTGGGGATTCGAATTGGGATCTACGTCGCGTAGAACAGTTGCCCATGGGGGCAATTGAGCCTGAAGACACCGAGGACGACATGAATCCTTCTCGAGCAGTGCTGGGAGGAACTCGGGGTGACAGGGCAACTCTCAGGAGCTCGGCAGACCTGTCACACTCTGCATCACCTTGTGCTACTACATGACCTTCTGGAACTGCTTCATGCTCTGTGACTTCGAAGACACTCGTGGACCCAATGTGAACATGACAAAGTCCCTCGAACCCCTGTTTCATGTACGCGGAGGAGGCGGCACGATCCTTGGCGAATGCGTCCTCGCCCAGTCCAAACTGTTCCCTCGCCGCCGGGGGCACTGGGAATGAGCCACCTTTCCACTGTACAAGCGGGATTGCTCGATGTCCGCAGGGCAAACTTGTCATGCACATGTTGACATCTATGTTCTTGAACTTCACCTGATTCGTGGTGAGGTCCAGGGTGCATCCCAAGTGCTCTAGAAAACCGACACTGAGAAGAGGAGGAACTTCGCCGTCGATGACCAGAAATTGAATGACGCCCGGTGCCCCGCCTGGGGAGATCGGAACGAGGGCAGTTTTGAGTACCCGGGCAGCTCCTCCTATGCCAGTCGGCGACGACGCTGTAGTTGGCACTTCTAGGGCTCGAAGCCCATGGCGACTCAACTCCCGTTCCAACGACTCGTAGGCTGACCTCCCAATCAGGTCTTGGGTTGCTCCTATGTCGAGTATAGCCATACCGCTTGGTATGGCTAAGAAGTTGAACGAGGCCTCCGGGGAGAGATCGTCCTTCCGCGACGTCACATAGGTCATGAAGGTGAAGTGGGAGCCGTGACCACTTGAGGCACCCTTGAGGGATCCTCCCAGGTAACAGAAGCCGCTCATCTTGTCGCCGCCGTCGGTCGCTGCCGATCGAGAGTTGCCTCCTCCCTGACGGCAGTCCTCGGCCCAGTGACCCCGGCGACCGCAGTTGTTGCAGCGAGAGATCTTCTTGAGTTGCTCTCGCGAGATTCCCCCTCTACCTGCAGGCCTGGATGCGGCACGAGGGGCTCCTCCACGTCCTTCATTGTCGCCTTTGACGAAGCCTCGACGGTCCTTCCGGATGTCCTGCTTGAACTTCTTGTTCTCCTTCCACGTCCTCCGTGGTCTCGGAGGCCGGTTCTCCATGATGGCGAACACCAGGGCCGCCTGCTCCTCCGTGAAGTTCATGTCGGAGAGCTCGCACAGCACCTCCTCATCCTCTAAGGAGCTGCCGTCGTCCTCGTCGTCCTGCTCCTTCTCGTCGTCCTGGTCCTCGAAGAAGTCGCCCGCCATGAGAGAGTTCTCGGCACCACGCTCGCCGCCCTGAACGAAGCCGGAGATGCGGTCGCTCCTCACGTCCATACGGGCCAGCGTGTGCGCCAACTTGTCTTTGTCGTGGTCCTGGCCCTGCATCAGCGCGGTGAGATTTTGGAGCCCCTGCTCGCTCAGCCCGGCTCCTTCCCTCAACAGTGCGGCCTTGAACTCATTCGGAAGCTGGATGCCGTAGGAGGAGGCGCGGGTGAAGTCCCTGAGACGCCGATTGGCGAACTGCCCCAGGGACTCATCTCTCCTTCTTCCGTTGTCGTGGAGCACCGCCTTAAAGCATGCGCGGCGGTCATCGTCCTCTCGCGCTCCAGCCTTCATCTCGATGACTCCGACGATCCGCTCCAGGTAGTCGTGCGCCGCTAGCTGGCTCTCGGACAAGTGCTCGAACTCCGTGGCCATCTCCCATCCGAGAACTCGTAGGACCCGCTCTGCCCTTCTTCCAACGGGGATGTCGGAGGCCTTGTTCCATCTCCGAACCGCCGCCACCCATTGTCTCCGATACTGCCAGCCTGGCCACGCCGGAGGGTCCGAAAACTCTCCTTTCCATACTCCGGGAGGCCCGTTGCCAGCCAGACCTCCATGCACCGGCGGACTCCAAGGCGTCGTCGGCCCATTCCACATTGGAGAGGCCAGGTTGGGCCCAAAGTTGTTCCACGCTGCCCCGGGCATAGGACCCCAGGGCATGGTGAGCCCAGGTGGCTGCTGCAGTCCTCCAGGAAAACCAGCTGCTTCCGTGGCGGCCGTCCGGCCACGCATCATCGGATGTGGCAGTTCTGGAGGTTGTGGAGCCATGCCTGCCTCCTCGGGTCGGGCTCCTGCAGTGGAGTATGTCGCCCTCGGCACGTTTCCAGTAGCCGATGCGACCAGTCGTCGCGCCGCTTCGCGCCAAGGGTCGTCTGCTTCATCACCTTCGGGAAGATCGGGTAGTAGAGATCCTAGGCGTCCCTGGGAGCTCGTCGGGGGTGCTGCTGATCGCGTCGCGGCCGTCGAGGAACTGGCCGCCTGTTCCGGAGCTGTCTGCGGCTCCGGATCCCCTTCGAAAACGGGGTATGAAGAAAAGGGTGGAGGGTACTGTCCCCCGTACCATCCACTCATGCCCCACGACTGATTCCCCCGCGGAACGGGCGTCCTCTGAGGCCAGTAGCCGTAGTGAACGTCATATCCGGCTTGATCAGTCGCATAGCCGAACTCGTTCGGAGGGCCGTAGTAATGCTGCTGCAACCGGTGTGGGTGTTGTGCTGCAGCCGCTTCTCCAGGTATCATTGCGCAGTGGATTCTAAAGAGCTTGGCCTAACGTGCCAAGCTCCGCTACCAACTATGGAGGTATCAGGGAAGCGGCTCG